GAGATCTTTACTAATTACTGGAAAAATCCGACGTTTTCGAATTTTTAGTATTTTTTCAAAAAAAATTCCAAGTCGAAAATAATGAAAAACTGAAATATTTCCATTTATAATGAAAATATAGAAAAAATTCATTAAGACTTTCGACTTAGTTTGGTAAGATCTTTTAAAATAAAATCACAAATAATTTATTTCACAGTTTTTGGATTTTTTCTAAAAAAAATTCTAAGTCGAAAATAATGAAAAACTGAAATATTTCCATTTATAATGAAAATATAGAAAAAATTCATTAAGACTTTCGACTTAGTTTCGTAAGATCTTTTAAAATAAAATCACAAATAATTTATTTCACAGTTTTTGGATTTTTTCTAAAAAAAATTCTAAGTCGAAAATAATGAAAAACTGAAATATTTCCATAAATATCGAATATATGGAAAAAATTCATACTCACTTTCGACTTAGTTTATGGAGATCTCTACAAAAAAAAAGGAAAATAATTCTTTTCACAGGTTTTGGTTTTTTTTCTTTCAAAAAATCCAACACCAATACAGTTTTATTCTTGAAAATATCACAAAAATCGGAAAATTGTATATAATATTTTCGATTTATTTTAACGTTGTTTGTACAAATCACCGAAAAAATTATTATTTTTCCTCTAAAAATGCTATTTACAAAGAAAAACTACCAATAAATGTAATTGAAAATCTAACAAAATATTACAAAAATCGAAAAAATACTATATAACATTTTAGATCTATTTTCACGGTATATTTAGAATTCACAGGAAAAATAGGATTTTTTGAATCAAAAAATGTTTTCACAAAAAACGCACACTTATGGGAGTTTTCTATTTGCAATCACTAATAAAATATCGCAAAAATCGGAAAATGTTATATAATATTTTCGATTTAATTTCACGTTACTTGCACAAATCACCGAAAAAAATTAAATTTTTTTTACTAAAACAATTATTTTCACAAAAAATTCTAACACTTTTGGATTTTCTATTTGAAAATTTTCCCAAAATATCACAAATATCAGAAAATTGTATATAGCATTTCGATTTTAATTCACTTTTTTGTACAAATCATTGAAAAAAAATGTATTTTTTAATAAAAAATCGTTTTCACAGCAAAAAAAGTAACACCAAATTAACACACATATACATGCACATACGTACATACATATATATAAGCACAAATTACTCACCTAAGTTGAGGGTGGGGAGGGCACCCTTCTTCAGGTATTTCCCTCCCACAGCTTCCGGCTCGAAATGTTGGCTGCATACCAGGGAGTAGGTGGGTGGAAGCTTCTCCTCTGCTCCAATCCTCAGGTTGTCCCTCCATTTGGCTGCTTCGGCTTTGTCCAGCGGGAACCTGAAAAAACGTAGGTTTGGATGTTGGTTTACGCAACCGATTACACGACATTTTCGCTTTTTTCCGTCCATTTTTCGCGTTTAGGACCGACTTTCTGCATTCACGATTCGATCGCGTTATAAAAATACGCTGCCGCCAGAATAAATTCTGGAAACTAAAAGTCCGTTGACTTGTTCCTTTTGTGTTTGACATTATAACGGAATTCAATTCAATCAGAAATCGAATTGGCGAAAATGTCAAACAAAAGAAAAAGCTTTGTTGTAATCCACCTGCAGCATCTATTTTCCGACCAAATGCTAACATTTCCAATTGCTCCAATTGCAATTTCTGTTAATTTTGCGCCGCTCTGCGCTCACGCTGTTAAAAAATGGTGAGATTCTAGAGCTATCGATGTTAAAAATTTAACGTGGTGAGCTTCTAGCCGATTTCTGATCTATTACAAAATACCAACGAGTAGCGTGTTGCTGCTTCTCTGTTTTAAACGTTCTCTG